ATGTTCACCAGGGACCCGTCACCTTGGAAGGCCACCACCACCCTTTCTGCTGATGGCACCCTTGTGTCTGATCCCCTGGCGCTCTTGGCTTCGGAAGGTTTCAAGTTTGCCGCCTTCTGGGGCAAGGGCTCTGGAGCCTCTAGAGGCCCCCCGTCGCTTGGTCCGACGCTTCCGAGAGTTTCGGCTGACGAAATCAGGGAAGTCTCCAAGAAGTACAAGAGGGGTTCTGCGGTGGCCTACGATGGCTTCAGTTGTCGTCACTTCCAGTACTTGTGTGATGATGCGTTGAACTCGCTCGCCGTCTTGTTTGAAGTTATGGAAGCGCTCGGTGAATTGCCCGAGCAGATTTCTGCTGTGCTGCTCGCGCTTCTCTCGAAGCCCACTGGTGGCTACAGGCCTATAGGGGTGTTCTGCTCCTGGTACAGGGCGCGGGGGAAGCTGAGGCGCCCCTTCGCCCTTGCCTGGGGGCAAGAGCACCCCCGTAGGTACTGGGCTGCTGGTGGGCATCGAGGTGCTGCCGACGTTGTTTGGAGGCAGTCTGTTCGGGCTGAGCACGGCACTGCGTCGAATGAGGTTTCGCGCAGTGTGTTTTACGATATGCTTAAGTATTACGAGACCATCGACCTTGCCAAGTTGATGTCCCAATGTCAGCGACACGGTTTTCCCTTCCCGATTGCGCGCCTTTGCATCTTTGCCTTTCGGCGCGGCCGTTTCCTGTCCCTGGGTGGCATCCTTATGGGCCCCTTTTTTGTCGAGCGAGGGGTGGTGGCGGGCTGCAGCTTCGCCACCACCCTCATCAGGGTATTTGCCCTCGACGCGTTTGACTCGATTCCCCTGTCCCCCAGATGTGACCTGGACATTTACATCGACGATTCGGGGATTTCTGCGACGGGCCCTCGTCACCGAGTTATTGCCTCTATTGTCGCCAGCTCGCAGGCTTTGCACACGGCTGTGACCGACATGCTTGGCTGCAGTTTCGCCCTGTCCAAAGTGTGCACGGTCTCCTCTAATAGGGCGGTGGCCAGAGAGGTTGGCAAGCAGCTTGGCAGTTTGGCAGGTAGGATCGAGGATGTCACAGTCAACTTAGGTGTGGACTACTCGGCGGGCAAGCCCATTCGGGCCTCAGGTCGGGCTAGCAAGCTCAAGTCGAGGCTGGCCACCATGTGCCGTCGAGCCAAGAGGCTCAAGAGGCTTTCTGGTGATCTCGGGAGAAAAACGTTGCGTGTGTTTTCCTCGGGCCCTCTTGCGGGAGGCTCCTACGGGGCCGACATTGTGGGCGTTTCTGACCACGATCTTTTATTGATGCGGAGGCAAGCCTTCTCGACTGTGCGGCCGTTTTCTCAGGGCAGGAGTCTCACTGCCTGCTGTATTTTAGCTGGAGATCCCACCGGGAGGGCGGCCTGCGCGCCTGTGCTTAGGTGGGGAAAAGAAATATGGCTTGCTCAGACTAAGGTCTTCCCGCACTCCCTGGCCCTCAAGGAGCTCAGAGACTCTTGGAATGCCGTCTGGGGCCTTAGCAGGATCAGTTGGGGTCTCGTTGGGGGTCCTGTCTCTGCCCTCAGGCTTTGCCTTGTCAGGTTAGGGTGGCATATGGACAATTTCATGACCATTATTGATGACAGAGGGTACCACATCCCCCTCGGTGTGACCTCCCCTGCCCTCCTGTGTATTTTCTGTCGGGAAGGTATGATCAGAGCTCTGGAAAGGGATTTGGGCGGCAAATGGGCGTCTGGAGGCCGCCTCTGCTTGGATGTCCCCCGTGCTGCTCTGGCGTCTAGCAAGTTTACTCCCAGTGAAAAAGGCATGGTTCGTGCTCTGGCGTGTAACGCCATCTGGACTCCTGATCGTGCCATTGCCTGTGGTTATAAAGTTTGTTCTAAGTGCGTCCATTGCGGTGAGGCAGACTCGCTGCACCATCGGCTGTGGGCATGCCCTCATGTGAGCGATCTGAGAGCGGAGCTTGCTAAGGACTGGATCATTGCTGCCGCACGTGACACTGAGGCTGAGGACTACTCGGACCTCCTTTTCTGCTTCGGGGCTTTCGCCCATCCCGCCGATACCCTTCCGAGGCCGTGCCTCGAAGGCAATGTGGTGTTCCGCTGGCATCGTGATCTGCTCGAGGGCCCCGAAGGCTTCGAGGCTCCCCAGGAAGGTGCTGTCTGGGGGTCGCTGTTTCTCGACGGGTCTTGCAAGCGGCACATAATTCGTGAACTCAGCCGTGCGTCGTGGGCCATCACGATGCACAATGACAGCGGGGACCTTTTAGGTGAGGTCATGGGGCCTGTGTGGGCTCAATACCCTCAGACCCCGCAGGCTGGTGAATATTTAGCGCGTGGCATGGCTGGTAATATGGCCAAGTACCCTTCCACCCTGTTCTCTGACTGTTTGAATGTGGTCAAGCATTCTAAGTTGCCTCCTGGCGATCGCCTCTCGGGTAAGAGGGTGTACAGTGGCATAATCATGGAAGCCAATGCTCGAGAAGGCACGTGCATTCAGGATATTGTTAAGGTTTCTGCTCACAAAGATTTAGATGAAGCTGGCATCGACCAGTTCGAAAGGTTTTGTCGCAAATGCAATAATGATGCTGACGCGGCGGCCAAAGCTGCGCTTTCGTTTCATGCGACAGATATTAATGAGAGTGAAGATCTCAGCAAGAAGATAGACATTGCTAAAGCAGTGTGTCGACTAGGGGCCAAGCTTCTCTTAGAGTGGCCCCGACTAGATTTATCTGATGCCGATTATATCCCGCCTGCCCCCAAGCCCAGGTTTTCCTGGGACAAGCCTGGGCACGACTGGGCCCCTTGGTCCGGTGTGTGGCGCTGTAGAGTTTGTTTGTTGGGTTCCAGGGAGTCTGGCGTCCCTGATCCTGGCATATGCTCTGGCAAGTGCAAGCTTGATGAAGGTGTGCTGGTTTCACTGCGGCATCGAGTTTTGGCCTTCTCCTGCAGTGACGGTTCACATCTTTCTGTTTGCGTGAAATGCCGCTACCACAGCACAGGTGCTCGTGTGGACGGCCTCGGGAAGTTTTGTAAGGATCGGCCCTCCAGGAACGCAGAGTATTCTTGGAGGCATCTCTGTCGAGGAGTGCACCCGAACCCCAGGAAGCGGGATGTGACGGTGAACACTCACCAGATCTGTGCGCTGTTTGGTTCTCAGGCCGAGGAGGCTTCCTCGTGCTGCAGGGCCGTGGAGGCCCCAGCTGGGAACCACATGGTGGAGGAGGAGGAGGTCCCCCCTTCCTCGGTCGAGCCTCCCCCCCCCTCGGTGGAGGAGGTCCGTCAGGCTTGTCAGGCCCGAGAGCTCAGCCTCTCCTCTCAGTCCCTCAGCCGTCTCCAAGCCGCTCGGAGTGGCGGTGAGGAAAGGAGGGACTTGGATGCTGACTCGGGTTCCTCTGACTAATTTTATCCTGCCACCTTTGTGGCTCACCTCCTTGCCTCAGTGGCATGGAGGACGCAGCAGCGATTTCCCAGCCGTCGCTGCTGACTGGAGAGGCTGTGCGGGCGTTGAGCTCTAAAAAAAAAAACATCATTATCATCCGCCCGCTCCCTCACATCCTCCGCATTATCATGTTATTCCTGCTACTCCACCTCCATCTCCCCCTCCTCTTCATCTTCACCTCCTCCTCCTCCCCATCATTATCATCCTCCTGATCATACGCAGCATCATCATGATCATCATCATCATCATCATCATCATCATCATCATCAGCAGCAGCAGCAGCAGCATCAATATCATCGTCGTCGTCATCAATACCGTCGTCATCGTCATCGCCATCGTCATCCTCATCATCGTCATCCTCATCAGCAGCATCATCATCATAATCAACAACATCATCATAATAATCGTCGTCATCATCAGCATCGTCGTCAGCATCATCATCATCAGCAGCAGCATCATCATACTCCTCATCATCAGCAGCATCAGCCTCAGCATCAGCATCAGCATCAGCATCATCATCAGCATCATCATCATCAGCATCATCATCGTGCTTCTCTTCCAACTCCCGATACTCGTCGACATCGTCGTCGTTGTCGACGTCGCTGTCGTCGTCTTCATGAAGATGATGATGATCATCATCAGAATCCAATGCAGCAGCATCACCTCCACTACCATCATCAAACCACCACCATCGTCGTCGTCGTGATCAGCATCACCATCCTTATCATCATCATCAGCATCATCACCATCATCAACAGCAGCATCATCAATGATGATGATGATTCATCGTCATCGTCATCGCCATCATCATCATCAGCATCAGCAGCATCACTATCATCGTCATCATCATCAGCAGCAGTAGCATCATCATTATCGTCCTCATCCTCATCATCATCGTTGTCGTCGTCGTCGCCATCCTCCTCGTCATCATCATCGTCATCATCGTATCACTATCACCACCAATACCACCGTCGTCGTCGCCGCCGCCGCCGTCGTCGACATCGTCATCGTCGTCGCCGTCGTCGTCATCGTTATCATCGTCACCATCGTCGTCATCGTCTTCATCGTCGTCATCATCTTTATCATCAACATGACCGTCACCAATATCAGAGTCACCAACATTACCATCACCGTTATCATAACTGTGATCCTCATTGTCGAAATAGGTATCGCCGTCGTCATTATCATACTCACCATCAGCATCCTCGTCTTCATCAGAGTCTGATTCCAGATCATCATTATCATCCGCCCGCTCCCTCACATCCTCCGCATTATCATGTTATTCCTGCTACTCCACCTCCATCTCCCCCTCCTCTTCATCTTCACCTCCTCCTCCTCATCATCATCCTCATCCTCCTGATCATACGCAGCATCATCATGATCATCATCATCATCATCATCATCATCATCAGCAGAAGCAGCAGCAGCATCATCAATATCGTCGTCGTCATCAAAATCATCACCTTCGTCGCCATCCTCCCCCTAGGGCGTCCAGGAGGTCTGCCCGCCCTGCAGCCATCTCTCCCCGCCCTGGTGGCCCCTGGACAGCGGGGCTCGCTCGCCTCGGACTCTATGGCCACCCGCGTCTCCACGCGCCACTGCTCTAGGCCGGCCTTGCCAGCGTCCCGGCCGGTCCACACGACGACCTCGCTTTACCAGCGGCAGGGGAGTCGGAGGGAGGAGGAGGGAAGAGGGAGGAGGAGGACGACGAGCAGGAGGAGGAGAGGTAAAGGAGGAGCAGCAGGAATGAGGGAGGGCTGGAAGGAAGAGGAGAAGGCAGGAGGGGGGCGAGGAGGAGGCGAGAACGACATAATTTTTGTGCCAGATGCCCATGCCCGCTAACGGCGTTTGCCTGTGCCTCGGCCTCGGCCCTGGCCTCAGAAGAGGAGGAGAAGAATAAGATGAAGGGATAATCAGAATGAGGGGGCCGAACGGTCATTCACTGTCCCTGGGTACGTGGCTGAAACGGGACTTCACAATCGTTGTTACGTTTTTGTTGTCGTCGTCCCCCCCGTGACCCGGCCCGCGACCCACCCGCGACCAACCCGCGACCAACCCGCGACCCACCCGCGACCCATCCGCGACTCACCCGCGACCCGCCCCGCGATCCACCCGCGACTCACCCGCGACCCACCCGCGACCCACCCCGCGACCCGCCCGCGACCCACCCGCGACCCAACCGCGACCCACCCGCAACCAGCCCACGACCCGGCCCGCGACCCACCCGCGACCCACCGCGACCCACCCGCGACACACCCGCGACCCACCCGCGACCCACCCACGTTGCTTAAAAAAATCGGCGCCTGTTGCATAATTTGTGAAAGTTCGGCACCAACAGCGGGTTTCTTCAGAGCCTCGCAGACTGCCGACGTCCCCGCCACCCCCCCCTCCGCAACTGCGGGGTGTATTGCATGCACGCTTCTCCGACGGAGGGAACTCGAAAGATCAACGGGCGGTCGGGGTCGGGGTCAAATGGCCCCCCGTACGCTGGGGTTTCGTCCCGCCCAAACACGCACACACACACACACACACACTGAGATTTTTCGTCGTCGGCGCAGCAGAGTTGGTTGCACCAGCGATGGAGCTAAACGGGGGCACCGAAAAGCGAATTGGCCAGCGTGCAAGAGCGGAAAGAGGGCAGAGGGGCCGCCGCGGAGGGGGGGGAGAAAAGGCCAATCAGAGGTGGAAGAGTTTTCACCTGTGTGTACTGGCGCGACCAGTCCCGCCAGTGGGATCCACGGCAGTCAGGGAGCACTAAACCGGGTAACGCCTGAACGGGGTAACAGCCCACCATGGGATCCAGGTGGAAAAACTACAACGACCAGAACAAACAAATGCACTGAATTGTTCTGCAACGCAAAAAAAAAACTGCACTGCAATCTGTTGGCAACTTATTGCGGAAGTACTGCAAACAAGCCCCACAGACTGGGTAACAGAGGGCCCAAAACAAAAAGTTGCAGTGCAGCAGCCGAAAATGTGCAACGCAGCCAGCATGTGGAAGGTGCTGCATCGAACGCCAAAGAAAACTGCACTGCAACAAAAGGGCCATTTGATGCCTCGAACTGGCCGTTTCCTGTTACCCCGTCTGCTGTTACCCCGTCTCTGGCTCCCTGAGGCAGCTGCCGGGCCGCGGCGCCGGGGCACCCACGGGCGATGACGGGGCCCAGTGCGTGTAAAGCAAGTACATCCTGCAGTGACGCTGCCGATGAAGTAGGCGAGGTACTTGGACGACAGAAAGGAGGCTGCAGGCCGCCCAGGTCGATGGCACGGGACACGGTACGGTAAGCTCGTGTGCAGTCTAGGTTTCGACTGCAGCCAGCAAAATGCTGGGCCGCGGACGGGAACAGGTGGCAAGACCAAGTCCGGGCGCCGAACCACGTGAGGAAGCTGCGAGCTGCGGCAGCCTCGCGAGCGCCATGGCGGCGCGCGGAGGGAAGGGGGGAAAAGAAAATGGCGGGGGGGGGGGAGAGAGGGTGAGGAAGAGGAGCGCCCCGCCTGTAGGGAGATCTCCGCTGGCGGGGCGGCAGCGCCGGCGCCAGCGCTGGCGGGCGGTAGGGAGGCGGCCCGCGCACTGCGCTGCTGCGGACGTCTGCGCGCTGCCCCGGTCGGCGAGCCAGGGTAGCTGAAGCACGCCCAGAGCTGCCCAGCAGGGGGCAGCGGAGCGGACGCGTCTGTCACAAAACTGCGGCCAAGGCCGTGAGGCCGCGTGCTGCTGGGGTGGACAATGCGGGCCAAGACTGAGGGCACCTAATCGGTGCGGAAGCTGTTTGAGTGAGGCGGCCGAGGCCGAAGGGAGCCACGCGCTGCCGGGGTGGACAGCACGCGGCCAGGGCATCGAATCAATCAAAACTGTGACCAAGGCTGAAAGGCCGCGCGCTGCCGGGGTGGACGCAACGTGGTAATCAACGTGCGGGCCGCCGCACGACGTAACGGCTGAAAGGCCGCCGCGCTGCCGGAGTGCGGGCCAAGACTACGTGGTAATCAACCCTGTCAAGGTGGTTGTGCGGTTGATGCGAGCTGCCTCAAATGTGCGCACGTCTCACGCGAAGGCCCAAGCAACGCAAGGACGAGCGAGAAACATACAGCAAAGCCGAGTGCGAGATGCGGAGAAGTGCGCGCCCTGGCAGCCCCGCGACTCCCCTTTGCGTGGAGAAGTGCGTGGAGCTGGTACAACAAGATAGAACTGGCCATAGAACTGGTCCGTTCAAAATAAGGTCAGGCATAGAATTTGTCGTTTCAATTGAGAAAAATTAGATATCTACATTTTTCCTAAATCAGTGCTTGCACTGAAGGGGTCCTAGCGGAAGTTGAAGGATTTGGCGAAAATTCCCCGCCGATTTTGGTGGCAGGCTGGGTTCCCGGGTTCTCGGGTTCCCGGTTCCGGGTTCCGGGTTCCTGGCCGATTTCGAAAGGCGGCGAGGTTCCCGGGTTCCCGGGTTCCTGGTCGATCTTCTTATCGATTGGTCTCACCATCGATTTCACTACCGACTTCTCAATCGATCCCAGTATCGATCTCACAATCGATCTCACTATCAATCTCACAAGCGATCTCACTAGAGATCGCATGAGAGATCTCGCATTCGATCTCACTATCGATCTCACTAAATCGAGTTCACTCTCGGTCTCACGATCGACCTTGCAATCGTCCTCACGATCGATTCCGCGATCGGTCTCATTATCGATCTCACAATCGATCTCAAGATCCATAGTATCAATTTTCAAATCATCCACTGATTGGGGTTTTCTCAGGTGCGATTCCTTTTTGCAATGTCAACCAGTTCTATGCCGGACCCTTTCTTGAATGGACCAGTTCTGCAACCAGTTCTATGACCAGTGACCAGTTCTAACCAGTTCTACCAGTTCCGCAACAAAGCAATCCCACATCTACCCAGACGGTGCCCAGACAAAAAGTGTCCATACCCATAGCGGGAAGGCGGTGCAATATGATAACAACCACAAGTGCGAAATGCCCTTGCTTCGCACCCGTCCCCCCCAAACCCAAAGATGACATGTCCACATGTTGCCCCTGGCCTTTGGCCTACAACCTAAACCCGTCAACTTTGAATTTAGGGGAAGGGGGTATACATGTTGGTCCGACATACTTTAATGGCTCAACGTCTTGGCGAGACACGCGTAGACACTTTTAGTCCACCCACCGTGGTAATCAACCCTGTCAAGGTGGTTATGCTGTTGATGCGAGCTGCTTCACATGTGCGCACGTCTCACGCGACGGCCCAAGCAACGCAAGGACGAGCGAGAAACATACAGCAAAGCCGAGTGCGGGATGCGGAGAAGTGCGCGCCCTGGCAGCCCCGCGGTTTTACTTTGCGTGGAGAAGTGCCTGGAGCTGGTACAAGTGGTAGAACTGGGTAGAACTGGTCATAGAACTGATCATAGAACTGGTTAATTTGAAATAGCGTCAGGCATAGACCTGGTCGCTTCAAACTTAAAAACGTAAATCTTATGCCGGACCCTTTTAATGGACCAGTGCTAAGACCTGTTCTATGACCAGTTATATCCAGTTGTACCAGTTCCGCAACGAAGCAAGCCCACATCAGCGAAACAACAAAACGCTTTTTACCCAGAAGTAAGGGCACCTAATCGGTGCAGAAGCCATTTAGGGAAGCGGCCGAAGCCAAGGGAGCCGCGCGTCGCTGGGGTGGACAGCTCGCGGCCAGGGCACCTAATTGGTGCAGAAACAAATACGAAAGAAACCAGTGAGGGGAAAGGTGCCACGCGCCGCGGGGGGTTGGCGCGTGGCGTCTAAGTCCGTCTGGTGACTCAGAAGGTGATGAGGGGGCGGCGTTGGTGCGGTTGGGCGCCTCGCATTGTCCTGGGTGCGCTGCGGGCCGGGCGAGGGCGGCGTGGGGGGGGGCGGTTGTCTGCGCCATGGCCAGAGGTTCTGGGCTGAACAGTGGCGCCATCGCGTCAGGTTCCCGCCTGGAGGGGCTGCCGTCTGGGGGACCAGCTAGGTGCCCTGGTCTGGCCTTGGAGCAGGGGTCTCGGAGGCCTGGCAGGACTGTCGTGTTGGGACGGCGCTGCCTCGACTGGTCGTTCTTGGGCCAGGTGGGGTCCGCGCGCCTCTTGCATTTCCCGACCGTGTCGTGACCCTTCCCTTTGCCCTTGCCCTTGTCTCGTTGCTGCTCGTTGCGCCGCAACTGTCGGTCCCAGACGGCGTCCCAATACACATGGACTCCCCGTACTCTACAGACCCTGCGGATGCCGAAATCCTTACGTAGCACCCCGCAATTGTGGATAAGAGTGAGGGGGCGGGCGCGGGCGACGCGGGTGTCGAGCCGGCGGACCTCGTGGCCCTCACCTTCCCTGTCGATGGCGCCCTCCTCCTCCTCCTCCTGCTCCTCCTCCTCCTCTTCCTCGTTCGCTTTGGATTGTTCAGTGAACGTAATTTGGGTCGCAGGTGGGTCGCGGGCCCTTCACCTCCATCTGGAAGGAATTCAAAAACAACCCGCCGCAGGCGCCGAACATTTTGACTTGTATACTGACCGCGGTTTGGGTCGCAGGTTCTCCACCTGGAACGAATGCAAAAGAAACCCGCCAGCGGCGCCGAAGTTTTGGCTTGTTCAGTGAACGTAGTTTGGGTCGCGGGTGGGTCGCGGGCTCTCCACCTCCACCTGGAAGGAATTCAAAGACAGCCCGCCGCAGGCGCCGACAATTTTGATTTGTACACTGAACGCGGTTTGGGTCGCGGGTGGGTCGCAGATTCCCTACCTGGAACGAATGCAAAAGAAACCCGCCGCAGGCGCCGAAAGTTTTGGGTGGGTCGCGGGGTGAGTCGCGGGTGGGTCGCGGGTGGGTCGCGGTGGGTCGCGGGTGGGTCGCGGCCGCGGTTTGGGTCGCGGGTGGGTCGCAGGTCCTCCACCTGGAACGAATGCAAAAGAAACCCGCCGCAGGCGCCGAAAATTTTGGGTTGGTCGCGGGGTGCGTCGCGGGTGGGTCGCGGGTGGGTCGCGGTGGATCGCGGGTGGGTCGCGGGTGGGTCGCGGGGTGGATCGCGGGGTGGGTCGCGGATGGGTCGCCGATGGATCGCGGGTGGGTCGCGGGTGGGTTGCCGGGGGGGTCTCGGGGTGGGTCGCGGGCGGGTCGCGGGGTAGGTCGCGGGCGGGTCGCGGGTGGGTCGCGGGTGGGTCGCGCGGTTGGTCGCGGGTGGGTCGCGGGTTCGGTCGCGGGGTGGGTCGCGGGTGGGTCGCCGGTGGGTCGCGGGGCGGGGCGCGGGTGGGACGACGACAACAACAAACAACAAACAACAAACAACAAACAACAAACAACAAACAACAAACACAACAACAACAACAACAACAACAACAACAACAACAACAACAACAACAACAACAACAACATCGGCATCAACAACAACAAGAATCCGCATCGCGGAATTCCACTTCAGCCACGCACCCAGGGACAATGAATGACCGTTCGGTTCAGCCCCCTCACTCTGATTATACTGCTGGTCCAGCAGGTCCTCGCAGAAGGCGTCATGCCCGTCTGGTTTGTAGGTCACTCCACCTGGGGTCTGGCAGGCATCGCAGAGAGCGTTCCAGCCTTCGACGAAGGAGGCCCCGCACACGCGCACGCACACACACTCTCACCCACACACGCACATATGTTTCAGTCTGCGGCGCAGAGGAACTTCAGGCGCGGCAAGCAGATGGAAGTGCGAATTGCGAACGAACGTTGTCGTAACACGCAGTGACGGATACGCCACCACTGCAATGCAGAAGTATTGGTGCAAATAGATGTGAGGTGCTGCAAAACCAACGTGTAACGGCCAACAGAGCCAGGAACATAAAGCTCGACTTTGATAAATCAAGAACATAAAGCTCAACTTTGATAAATTGATGCGCCAGCAATCTGGTGCTAAATAATGCCACGGAATAATCGAAGCGATGTTTGGCAATAAAGACAAGCAGCTCTAAGGCAACCAAACAAGCCGATTGGTGGGGTAGCGTTGGAGCTATAGCCAATAAACCTCCGAACCGGCGACGCAAGATGCATTAGCAAGTACGGGTGGTGCGCAAGACTTACCAGCACGGCGGCACCATAACAGCGCGACCCGAGAGTATAATGAGCGTCGCCGAAAGCGGACGCTGTGATATCGAATTAATGGTAACGCAGAGCACAGCACATGTAGATACGAAAATGCGGGGCAGAAACCAGCCAAATGTGCCATGCCGTAAATTCCTTGGTGACTAGTTAAGCCGCCAAGAGAGGCCAGTGTCAATGACACATCCAGGCTGGCCGAAAACAGGCTGCAATAGAGGCGCCGACCGAAATGGATTGGTAGGGTGCCGATCGAGCAGCTCGATAATGACGCGAGATACACACACACACACACCGACCCAGCAATGACCGAGGGGGGGGGGGGGCGCGCGCCCTCACCCTAAGGCTTGCTGCAATCCTGACAAGCCACTTGGAGCATGGGCCTCGTTCAAGAGGGGCAGAACGGCGGGGGAAACCACTGGGATGGCAATCTCCACGAAAACGATGGTGACGACGGACGGGAGCGGAGCAACGGCTCAGACAGCGATGATGATGGCGGTGCCGACTCAGAGCAGCACGGCCAAGCAAACGGCAGCCACAACGGCCGCGCAGCAGCAGCAGCAGCAGCGAGCGAGCCGAAACTGACCCACACGATACGGGGAGGACGAAACCCCGCGGCCGTCCCACAATAAGAGCAAATAAGAGGATCGGCGCGAGCTGAGGACCGTCTGGCCGTGCACTGACGCGAGCATCTCCCGGATGCCGTCCCACGCCCTCCACGCAACGTCCCGCGTGGGCGCCGCCAGGTCGGCAGGGACCTTGGCAGCGGCTCTCTGGCAAGGCCTGGCAAAAAGGCTCCAATGAGAGCCACCGGAGCGTTCCTCGCACACCCCTCCCTCGGTCTTCTCTCTCGGGACCTAACCAGGGACCCAGAGCCTTGTATGCATGATTTCTTGGATCGCTGTGCGATTTGCGAGGAAAGCGGGGTCGGATATACAATTTTCTATATATAGCTGTCAGAACCCACTGTTATCCAGCAAAGGCTCAAACAACAATTCCCTGTACGCGAATCCCCTACCCGCCAGGGAATACTGTGCTTCTCGAGCCGCGCGCGCCGCTTCGCAGGTGCCGCACTGCGGCGCAACGCCGTGCGTGCCGTCCCGCCGGTGCCATGCAACGCGTGCCGTGCCACGCCGTGTGGCCCGCCGTGCGTGCCATGGCTTGCGAGGCGTGGCGCGCGTGCCGTGCTGTGGGAGAGACTGGCTGTGCGGATGGCCGCGGGTAGGCGAGGCTCGCAGGCAGATCCCAGCTTCCCACACCCCAGCCACGAAGCGTGAGCGGTGCCAGAAAACAGAAAACAACCATCCAGGGACGTACGCAATCCATCCGACACGTTTGACAATTCCGATGGGCACGAGACTTCCTTTCGCGAGTCGCACTGTCGAGAAGCCGACATGCGAAGGAGGTACAAGGAGGGCGGAAGAAGAAGGAGGGGCAGCTCTGAGTTCGCGCGCACCTCACACAAAAAGTACTGCATTCGTCTCCATCGAGGCCAGAAACCCTTCAAGACATCATCCCGACCAGCTGCTCGAGCCGCAGGAGGCCTTGCACTCGTCTCCGTCGAGGCCAGAATCCCCTCAAAACATCATCCCGACCAGCTGTTCAAGCCGCGGGCGGCCCGGCAGAGATACGGCAGGCCCAGGAGAAGACCTGGCAAGCTCCCTGGGCAACGCGTGGGAAGCACCCTGGGAGGCCATGGGGTGCTTCTGAGAGGCCTCGGGGAGACCATGCGAAATCTTGTGTCACACCTGGGGCGCTTCTGGTATATCCCAGGGAGCACTTCGGAGGCTCCTCAGAGCCGCCGGGAGGCCCCTGAAAGCTCCTGGAGGCCACCCGCCGAACGTCCCTGGCTCGATCTTCCTCGAGTGAAGACTTCACTGGCCAGAGCTAGTTGACCCTTATGTCGAGGGACTCGCTGTGTATCCAATAAGCACAAGCACGTTTCGGGAGGCATCCTGACCACTCTCAGACAACAGCCTGGCAAATCTCGGCTCCCATCAAATTCTCGCAGTGGCACCCCATGCAGCCGTTTTGCACGCAGACGTGATGCGATAAAAATGAGCACGACGATTCCCAACAGGATGTGTTGTCCAAAACTTGTAGCGGCCGCTATTGGGCAGGCGACTTTCTGTCTCAGATGGACAGCGCCCGCCGTGGCACCGACAGTCAGTCCTGCTCAAAATAGGTAGGAACTGCAGTCAGTCTTCGTCCACATTCTTTCCGTACCCATGTCGATCGTACCGAGCAGTGGGCGCCACTGGAGGCTGGAGAGAACGCCGTCGGGGGCCTCAGCGCAGGACCTTCCCAGATGGCGGACACCACGGGGCGCGGGCGGTGCCGCGCTGTGTGGCGTGGCACTGGTGTTCCTGCTTTGTGCTGCCATCTCCCCCTCATCAGTCAGCAATACCCATCAGCACGCAGCCACTGAAGCCATCGTCGCGCACCCTGGCTCCACCAGTCCTTGTCGTCTTCGTCGTCGGTTTCGTCGGTGTGGTCCTCGTCTTCTCCCCCTCCTCCTCCTCCTCCTCCTCCTCCTCCTCCTCCTCCTCCTCCTCCTCCTCCTCCTCCTCCTCCTCCTCCTCCTCCTCCTCCTCCTCCTCCTCCTCCTCCTCCTCATCCTCGTCGCATCCTCCTCGTCTTCCTGTTCTTGCGCGTTGTCCTGGTACTCCTCGTCCTCATCAAACTGGCGTCCACTGATGCTCCTTAGCTCAACGGGAGGCTCCAGGACGAGTAATGCGACGAGGCCAGCAGCGGCTGGGGGCAGAGCGTCCGCGCTCTCGGCAGCCCAGCAGCTCGCGGCATCATCCCACCTCCACACCTTGCGGCGAGGGCGGTCTCGACTCCCTCCTCCTCCTCCTCCTCCTCCTCCTCCTCCTCCTCCTCCTCCTCCTCCTCCTCTACTACTACTACTACTACTACTACTACTACTACTACTACTACTACTACTACTACTACTACTACTACTACTACTACTACTACTTACTACTACTACTACTACTACTACTACTACTACTACTACTACTACTACTACTCCTGCCCCTCCTCTTCTACCATCAATCATCATCAACATAATCATCATCATCATCATCATCATCATCATCATCATCATCATCATCAGCATCAGCATCAGCATCAGCAGCAGCATCATCATCATCAGCAGCAGCATCAGCATCAGCATCCTCCTCTCCTCCTCTCATCATCATCATCAACAACATCATCAGCATCATCATCATCATCATCATCATCATCATCATCATCATCATCATCATCATCATCAGCATCATCATCATCATCATCATCATCATCATCATCATCATCATCATCATCATCATCATCATCATCATCATCATCATCATCATCATCATCATCATCATCATCATTATCAGCATCATCCGCATCATCAGCATCGTCGTCATCATCATCATCATCAGCATCAGCATCATCAACATGATCAGCATCATCATCAGCAGCAGCAGCATCAGCATCAGCATCATCATCAGCATCATCATCAGCATCAGCATTATCATCAGCATCATCATCATCACCATGATCATCGTCATCATCATCAGCAGCAGCATCATCATCGGCATCAGCATCATCATCATCATCATTAGCATCATCATCGTCATCGGCATCATCATCAGCAGCAGCAACATCATCATCATAAAAATCGTCATCATCATCCGCATCATCATTATCATCAACATCATCATCAGCAGCATCATCGTCATCATCATCAGTATCATCGGCATCATCGCCATCCTCAGCATCGTCAGCATCATCATAAGTATCACCATCATCAGCATCATCAGCATCATCAACATTATCATTATCATCAGCATCCTCATCATCATCCTCGTCCTCATCTTCATCATCATCAGCATCGTCAACATCAGCAGCATCAACATCAGCAGTAGCATCATCATCAATATCAGCATCAGCATCATCAGCATGATCATCATCAGCAGCAGCATCATCATCAGCAGCATCATCATTATCAGCATCATCAGCATCATCATTATCAGCATCATCAGCATCATCATACTATCATCAGCATCATCAGCACCATCAGCAGCATCAGCAGCATCATCATCATCACCGTCAGGTCTGGTTCAGGCTCGCTGCTCGGCCCGCCCGCCCCCTCACCACCTCTTCCCTTCACCCTGCGGTCCGCGTCATCGGTTCCGCCCCGCTCCGGCATGGTGGCCGCTGGGCGGCCGCGGCGATGCTGCTTCCGCCGACGTCGGCCGCCGCCGCCGCGGCGCTGGCGCAGCTGACGCCCGGTCTCGCCGCTGCGCTGCGTGGCGTGCGGCGCCCTCGCCCGCCGGGCTCGAGGGCGCGCTCGCGGGAGTGCCCGCGGGCACGGACGCCTGCCGCGGCCGCTGCGCCTCGCCTGCCCCGGCCGCTGCGCAGAGAGGCCGCCCAACCCGCGCTCCCTGCTCCACTGGCTGGCGCGCTGGCCTTGCTGCTGCTCGCCGTGCACGCGTCTGGGCAGGAAGGGGCGTGCGTGGGAGGCGGCGAGGGCGGAGCCTGTTTGCGTGCTGGCCCGCCGTGCCCCCCCCTCCCTCCTGCACACCGTGCTGCACGTCAGCAGGCGTAAGACCGTTGTAGAGCAAGCTCGGGGACGGACTGCTGCCCTTCGTACCCGGGATCAGGGTCGGGGGGTCCAGGGCTCCTCAGGTGGGCCCCAGGCCCCTCGCGCGGAGGAGCGCGGAACTGCGCTGCCCTCTATGGCTTGCTCATCCTCAGTATCCTCCTCCTCCTCCTCCTCCTCCTCCTCCTCCTGCTCATTCTTGTCGTCGCGCTCCTCATGGTTCTCCTCCTCCTCCTCCTCAACCCCACACTGCTTGATAGTATAATGATTCAAACTTGCGCAGCACGGCACCAACATATCCAGGAAGGACAGAACTCACGTCAGAGCGAGGGGAGCTTCCTCGTCCTCCTCCTCCTCCTCCTCCTCCTCATCCTCCTCCTCCTCCTCCTCCACCTCCCCACACGCAACCTTAGCGCGACGAAATTCTGTCCCCTCCTCTCCGCCTTGTAAGCGGGTCGATGGGACAGCCTCATGATGGAGCGGCAAAATAAGCATTGGTGATTTACGGGAGATCACGAAAGAGGCAGAAGCGAGGGAAGGGAGAAGCATGCAGCACACGCACGTGGAGCACATTGGATAGCAGGTGCTAACAGTTGCAGCAATGCCGATAGTTGAAGGCGTCCGTCATCTTCACAAAATCCCAGCATGCATGGTTCAACCAACTCGAAACGTCAGCTTGTGGTGTGGTCCTTCTTCCTGGCAGAAATGTCCGTGTACCGGCTCCGTTGGCCACCCCGAACCTCGCCCCAAGTTAGAGCACCGGCCTCCACGTTGGTCAACTGGCTAGACGGATGGAAAACGTGGCAGGCCTAACTTGTTCATATAACAGGAGCTCCAATCTTCTGTGAGAAGCCTTCGAGTTTCGAACTGTCCTGCTGGGAAAATGCTGAGAGCACTGTCGATAGAAGACACAAATAGTGGTGACTGCAGAACCACCAGGCCAACAGCAGGAGGGACATGCCGCATCAGTAGAAGCAGGAAACTCAGCAAAGGAGACTCTGGACCACGACGGTCACTGAGGCAGAGAGTCGAGGTCAGCAGCATCAAGATGGGTGGAACGACACGCCAGGACATAATAATACTACAAATCCTCACACGATGAGTTGTACAGGCGGCGATGAAACACCACCACCAGTGTGGCGCCTTGAGCGATCCTTCGGGCATGGTGGTATCCTGACTCGAAAGCTCAGCAGGAGAAGACAGCACTAACTTCACAAGGCATACCGAGCGCACACAACGTTGGTAGTGGCATGCGGAAACCGAGGCGTGGGGCCCGTGGGTATAAAGCTATTAAGCTTTGAGCTACGATCATGCAACTTGTCGACAAGGAGTGCCCCAGCAGAGCTTCAAGAGCCACTTGGCCCAGCAAGAACTCAGATTATCTGATGGCACACACAGCTGCGAACAGTTCCCCAGCAGGTACAGGTTTTCCTAGCAGCGAGCTCAACAGTGTAGGCGGCGCACACCTCGAGCACCTAGGGTGCGGTCGCGCACCTAGAGCGAATCACGACGCAACGCATTCGCACCCAGATCTTAACTGCTAAAAGCTATTTGATCACTGCACCAATGCTGTCGGGGTGTACCCGTGCTGCCCGCTTCCTGGCTTGGACGGGGTAAGAGCCAGGACAAACACGGCTCCAGACCATGGGCACGTGGAAGAGCACGCTGGGCCCATTCATGAAGGCGACGCCTGCAGCACAACACTATGCGGCAAACTTCGCGGACTGGCCATGCGAGCCGCAACGGCGGGCCCACAATTGGGTAACGCCGGGAACGGCCTGGCCGTAGTCGAAGCTTGTCTCGGAGTGGGGATCAAGTGAGCATCGACACCGATGATTGAGCTGACTGCGACATGAATTAGGTTCTAGCTGCCGTCTGGGTCGATCACGTTGTTCGCCAGGCCAATCACATTGTTCGCCAGGCCAGGTCCTGGAAAGCGCCAGGAACCAGGCAAAGTGGGTCGAGGAGAAGGGGTATGTATTGGAGGCGGAGTAGGATGGATCGGAGGTTGGGGGGTGAGATCGCATTGAAACGGAGAGCCCCCACAGGGGAATCGGTTTCGGTTTCGTGTTCGTGCCGTCCGTGCGGGCCAGGCGAAGCTGCGTGGGCGCGCGGGAGGAATGACCCCGCCGTCGCTAGGGCGACTCGGATGCAGTGGACCGCCCCTCCGCCCCTGGTGTGCGCGCGGTGGCCCGGGGTGTCCCGCCGTGATGTCTTGTGGTGTCCTGCAGTGTCCCGTTGGTGTCCCGTTGGTGTCCCGTCGGTGTTCCGTCGGCGGTGGACGGGCGGTGGCCGGGGGTGTCCCGCCTTGATACCGATAGTGAAGTCGATAGTGAGATCGCTAGAATAGGATCGATGGTAAGACCAAAGTGAAATCGACAGTGCGCTTGATTGTGACATTGGTTGTGAGATCGATAGTGAGATCGATAGTGAGATCGATAGTGCGATCGATACTGAGATCGATGGTGAGACCGATGGTGAAATCGAAAGCGAGATTAGTAGTTAGATACATAGTCAGATCGATAGTGAGATCGATAGTGAGACCTATAGCGAGATCGATCGAGTGTGATCGATCCTGTGAGGTCGATACTGGAATCGATCGAGTGAGATCGAAAGCGGGGACGATAGTGACATCACATCGCAACGCAACATCGTCATCACGCGTCGTCCCTCACTCGAGGGCGCGTCACCAGCATCGTCATCATCACACCCATCGCATGTGCCAGCAATTGGTTCTGTCGCCCCCACCCCCCAACCTCCTTATCACCCGAAGGGTGGTCGTATAGGTAAGACAAATCACGAACTTGGGCTCGGGGCGTGAACCTGGATAGGCATCACGGCGACGCATCCTCATCTATACTTTGGGCTGTCAAACGCGTCCCCCCGACGAGTGGCGATACACGAACTCATCGGAGGTGACGATGTGAGCGGCTCTAGGCCTGAACGGCTCACGACCAGCTGAAGGCGGCGGTCGATTGGCGCCACACCTGGGCTCAACATCACCAGGTGCTGCATCCTCAAGCGGAGGTTGGCACTCGATGGCTCAGAGCAGCCAGGCGCCAGACTGGCACGAGCGAGACGTGCTTACCCTGACCGCTTGCCGATTGAAAAGCGTACAGCTTGTTAGAGAAGTGGCGTGCAGCTTGTCAGAGAAAAGACAAGGGGCCTCTCATTGACACCACCAAACTAAGGACATGAGGATCATGTTCCGCAAAATTGTTCCCCCGAATGCGCGGCATAAGCCTCCTAGCCGAGATGCTACCTTCATCCAGGCACAAGGATCACGATAGGCAGCATCATGTAATGCAATGCCGGAATCTCTGGCATCTGAAACGCTTTCGCACCCACTGCCCTCATGCAATTCTTGAACGTGCTCCCTGGCCATGATGTGAGCATCCTCTCTGCTTGTGAGGATACTGCGCCAAGCTGAAGCGACAAGAACGACCACAATTCAGTCTTGGCAGGTTCCGGCCTGGCGAAATTCCGAAATCTCCGAAACGACCACGCAAATCGACAAGGAGGACAGGCCGACATTATGAATCCCGAGTGGGGAGATAATTTGGGGAGGGCTTTCAAGAGGGTCAAATGGAGATTTGGCCAGAACGTGAATGCAGAGCTCTACCTGGCACCAATACATTGGAACAGAGAGGCAGGGTAAGGCCGCCACAACGCCTCCACGCGTGCGCGCATCTGTGAATGAAGTCTCGCGTTGCTGGTAGAGATGGTGAGACCAGTGACAGAAATCCCTCACGTCATTTAATCTGCCACCGTGCCTTGGCACGTTGAGGCGTGGAGGAATGTCACGTGCTGTCTGACACGGTTTCTGTAGCTTTCCAAGGAAAGCCCACCCCGCAACGTCGCGCCCTGTCGAGTGCACCACACCTACTCCTGGGGCTCCCTGGGCTGCCAAGACGCCTCCCTGGTGCGCTCCGAGGCGTCCAAAACGCCCAACATGGCCTCGAAGACAAAGTTTGCAGGCCAACAAGGCCGCCAAGATGGTCCGAGAGGCCTCCATGACGGCCTCAGATGGCCCAAGATGGGTTCGAGACGGCCCAAGAGGCCTCCAAGACGGCCCAAGAGAGCTCCAATATAGCCTCCAGCAAAGCCCGAAGAGGACTAAATCATGGATTTCCCTACGGATTTTCGCATTCTCGCCGTTTCGAGCTTTCGCGGGCTCAAGACAGCCTGAGAAGCCTCCAAGAGGGCCTCAAGACGGCCCAGGAAGGCACCAAGAGGGCTCCAAGATAGCCCAAGAAGGTTCCAAGATGGCCCAAAAGCGGCCCATGAGGACCCCAAGTCGGCCCAAGACGGCGCCCAGACGGCCCTCAAGCTCCCGAAGAGAGCCCCAAGACGACCCAGAGAGCCCCCAAGATGTGCTCTGAAAGCGCCCATCGGCCCAAGAGCACCTTCAGACGGCCTACAGACCAAAGAGCCCCCCAAGAGCCCCCGAGGGGCCCCAAAGGCGCTGCCAGGAGGCCCCAAGAACCCCTCGACCCTCAAGAGGTCCCCAGAACACTCAAGAGGCTCGAAGTGTCACACGTGACGGCCCGCCGTGCCCCCATCGAATAGTCGCCACCCAGCATGCTGGACTGGCACGGTGGCGGGACTTGCCGCGAGCAGCTGGGTACTACGAATCGCTTCTTCTCGGCACAACGAAGGCTTGCCGTTGAAGGGGAAATGACACGCGTTGGAGCTTAGAGGACGGGTTGAAGCTCGTAAAAGAAAAATCCCCAGTGTCTCAGGTGCTGCATGCCAGACTGCAACAAGAAAGATCTGGATCTCTGGGAGGTGGGTGATAATTCAAAAAGAATCCACATGGCAATGCTCGTGCTGTTCATGAGGGCGGTTGTGGATATTGGGCTCCACGACCTCTACCCGAACCCCTAGGCCCATCATGTGCTGGTCACCTCGCAACGGCAGGTTGACGCGCTGGTCGCAAAGCGGCACCGCCTTGAAGAGCGAGCGCCATTGATACGACACATTGTCCTGGTCTTCGCCGATGGTATCCCGTCTTTCTTCAGAAAGATTGTTTCCCCTCCAGGGCGCGTGCGACCGCTTTCAGTCCTAGTCGAACGCCACGTGGAGCTCCGTCTGCTCGCCTGTCGGCGGGGTGGCGCGGAAGCAGCAGAACGCGCAGTCCGAGCCTGGACTTGCACACAGCCTGCGCAACGCACACGGCAGCCCCGCCCACCGCGCCCCACGCTTTGACGGCACGGCGCGTCGCTGGCGGCTCGCCAGTCGCACGCCGTGGGTCGAGCCGCAGGCTGGTCCTCAAAGCTGTGGCAATTGTTTCTGCCACGATTCTAAAAATGTTCGACCGTGGATTGCAACGAATAGATCGGTTTCTGCAGAGGATGGCCTGCCTCCTCTACGCGGCGCGCAGAACTGCGTTCGACGCAGCCCTGTGCCTCCGTCCTGCGCAGGCCCGCATTCGGCGCAGCCCTGCGCCTCCGTCCTCTTGTCCTCCTCCACCTCCTCCTCCTCTTCCTCCTCCTCCTCATCCTCATCCTCCGCTTCCTCTTCCTCTTCCTCCTTCCTCCTTCCTCCTTCCTCCTCCTTCTCCTGCCTCCTGCATCCCTCCTCCTCCTCCTGCTCCTCCTTGTCCTCGCGCTCCCCCCGTCCCCCTGTCCCTCCCTGTTCTGGAAGCGAGGGAAGCGGCAGGAGGCAGGAGGGGAGAAGACGGGAGGAGAGAAGGCCACGGGAATGTTGGTGGCGCCCCCCTTGGGGGGACGTCTTCGAGCCCTCGAGGGGTGCCAGCTTGAGAGGACGCGCCTTGACGCCGTCGCCTCCGGCGGTGGCGAAGCGCGCCCCCTTCAGGCCGCCCAGGCCCGGGCTCGAGGGCCCGCGGTCCACCGTCGGCGGCGAGGCCCACGAGACGGCGACGGCGTCGCCGCACGGGTGCGCCTGCCGGCGGCGCGGCGGAGGTGGGATCGAGGCGGGGGGGCACGGGGGGTCGAGGAGGGGGAGGAGAGAGGGGTGGCCGAGCAGATCCTGGCCGCTCAACGGCCCGCGGCCGTTGGCGGCAGCAGGAGGGCGGAGGAGGAGGAGGAGGAGGAGGAGGAGGAGGAGGAGGAGGAGGAGGAGGAGGAGGAGGAGGAGGAGAAAAAGGAGGAGGAGGAGGAAGCAGAGGGCGAGGACAACCAGCAGGGGCTGAGGAGGAGGCGGAGGCGGAGGCGGAGGCCGACCCCTGGCCAGAGCACACCGAGGAGGAGAAGAGGAGGCGGCAGAGGACGAGGAGGAACATGTAGAGGCCGAGGAGGAGGAGTCGGCAGGAGAGGGCGAGGAGGAGCAGGTAAAGGCTGAGAAGGAGGAGGCCGCCCACGCCACGCGCGTGACTCCCGACTGCACCGAGAGCGTCGCCGCCGCTTCCGTCATGACCGCCGCGGGCAGCGCCGCCCGATGGCGACCCCGCCCGAATGCCGACTCCGCCCCACGACCCCCCTCGACCGCCGCCGACCCCCGCCTCCCGTCCGCCCTTCGGTCTTGACCCCCGTGCGCTCCGCCGCTCGGCCTCGAGGCTCCCGGGGGGCTGGTCTGTACGGGAGGCTAGCTCCAGGCTGCATGCTTCTGGCGTTGAGGCTCTGCTCTTGCTTTTCCGCCTCCCCCTCTCCTCCTCTCCCCCCCCCCCCCCCGCGGGGCCTCCCCCGCGGCGAGGCCCTGGGGCCTCCCCGCGGCCCCGGGGCCTCCCCGCCCCTCGTGGCTCCCCTCCTCTGCCCCCCTCCTCCTCCTCCTCCTCCTCCTCCTCCTCCCTCCTCCTCCTCCTCCTCCTCCTCCTCCTCCTCCTCCTCCTCCTCCTCCCTCCTCCCCTCCTCCTCCTCCTCCTCCTCCTCCTCCTCCTCCTCCTCCCTCCCCTCCTCTCCTCCACCTCCTCCTCCTCCTCCTCCTCCTCCTCCTCCTCCTCCTCCTCCATCCTCCTCCTCCTCCTCCTCCTCCTCCTCCTCCCTCCTCCTCCTCCTCCTCCCTCCTCCTCCTCCTCCTCTCCTCCTCCTCCTCCTCCTCCTCCCTCCTCCTCCTCTCCTCCTCCTCCTCCTCCTCCTCCTCCTCCTCCTCCTCCTCCTCCTCCTCCCCCCCCCCGCAGGGTGCGAGGTGAACTGTGCCGTGCGACCCTCCCGAGATCTGGGTCCGGGGCGGCTCGCCCGCGGACTCGTGGGGGCTTTCACGGCTGCTGTGCTGGGGACCACTGCCTGACACGCCTAGCCCCGGTGGGCACGCACCTCAGAGCTAGGTGCGTGCCGGGAGGAGGGAGGTGAGGAGAGAGGGGAGGGGGGGGGCGAGGAGAAGGGGGAAGAGGGGGACGAGCGGAGGGGGCCGCACCGAGGCCACATCGCCGAAGCCGGTTGTCTCCTTCTGTTACCATTGTCACGTTGACGATGCGACCATCCGATCATAACCCGAGCAATGGAAAACAGAGGGGGCTCTCCAAATGACTGCTAGGATGGAGCCAGCAGCATGCGCCGTGAGTCTCATCGCATGTGGGAGGCCTCTGACACCACTGCACGCTGGTCGGAACTCTCGAAACAATTCCAGCAGTAAGGTGACAGGGTCCCCATCGCACCTCATCGGGCGCGCCTCTGCTGCACCGGGGTGGGGTGCAGCTTGGCCATACCCCCCCCCCATCCCCATCCCCCGAAGAAATCCACCCCCGACCTCCTACGTGCTCATTCCTTCAACGCGTCTGGCTCCAGAGCTCTCGACACGATCTTTTGTGGAGTTCGGGCCGCGACTCGCTTCTGCGGGCCCCGAGGGTTCAAACGAAACCGGAGGTCCGAGACTGGGCCTGGATGTCCCAGAACGCTGCAGGTCTGGGAGTTCAGCTGCCCCTGTTCGACGGAAGCGGGCTCTCTCCGAAGACCGTTGGCCCCAGCAAGCCTGGAAGGCCTCACCCCCGCAGAAGATCCAGAGGTGCTCTGCCTCGGCGGGGTGCAGCAAGTCGACTGGGAGGTGGAGCAAGCCTTTCTCCAGATCCACAGTTCCCTCCTCCTTCCTCCCTACTCCCTCCTCCTGCTCCCACCTTCTCCCACCATTCTAATCCTCATCATCCCATCCCTCCCTCCCTCTTTCCCTCCTTCCCTCCCTCCGTCCATCTTTCCCTCCCTCCTCCGCCCACTCCTCCTAGTCCTGCTCATTACTACTCCTCCTCCTCCTCCTCCTCCTCCTCCTCCTCCTCCTCCTCCTCCTCCTCCTCCTCCTCCTCCTCCTCCTCCTCCTCCTCCTCCTCCTCCTCCTCCTCCTCCTCCTCCTCCTCCTCCTCCTCCTCCTCCCCCTCCTCCGGTGTAGTCTATCATTTTGCTTCGCTGTTCCGTAGCCCGTCCGCGTGCGGACCTTGTGGTGACGCAGGCGGCGCCCCCTGGGCGGAGGCAGCTGCAGGCCGCTCTCAGCACGGGCCAGCGGAGCCGCAGCAGAGCCGGCCAGGCGTGGGCGCAGGGGTCGGCGGGTGCGCTGCTCGGGGAAGACTCCAGGCGCGCGGTCTGTCTCCGGAAGGCCTGGTGCGGGCAGCTGTTGGACGCGCGAGGAGACCAGGTCGTCGCCCTCTAGATGCTGTGCCGCTCTCCCAGCCTAGATAGAGGTGGTTTTGCTGCACGCACTGCACGAGACCATGGGGCGGGGCAGGCAGGAGAGCAGGTCTATCTCGGTCGTGGTAGACCTCCTCAGCCACAGCCCCCTCGCCAGGATGCTAGAACTCGGCGCGGTGCTGCTTCCGCCTGACGCTGGTGTTTACCGCGTCCGGGAAGTCAAGAGCCCCTTCCAGGTTGTGCCGCTGCTGGGCGTGGTCCTCTTCCTCGGCTTAGTCTTCGCATTATTATTATTTTTTATATATATAAATATATATATATATATATATATATATTTTAAAAAAAAAAAAAAAAAAAAAAAAAAAAAAAAAAAAAAAAAAAAAAAAAAAAAAAAAAAAAAAAAAAACAAAAAAAAAAAAAAAAAAAAAAAAAAAAAACGCTGAGGCTGGGCTGCATCGCCGCTCCCATGCTGCGCGAGTTGGTCGTCACCTGCTTTCGGATCCCCGTCACGGTGACTGACGACTGGCGTGCGTGTGTGCGTGTGTGTGCCGTACGCAATCTCGGACAGTTGTACTGTTTCCAGAACAACAGTGAGAGCGCCGCCACAAACGGCCCCCTGCACGTGTCCCGAGGCGGTGGGCCCCCCAGAACATCCTCGGCGACAGCCGAGACGCCCGTCGAGGACGTAGCGCCTTCCCTCCTGCCTCCTCCCCCGCCTCCTCCCCATTTGGATCCTCGCGCTCTGTAGCCTGGCCGGCAAGAGGGCCCGTGATTCAGCCGAGACGCTCGTCGAGGGCGCAGCTCCTGCCCTCCCACCATCCCTCCCCCTCCTCGCCCTTCGCTTCCCTCCCCATCCATCCTGTTTGAACCGTCGTACATCTGAACCCGGCCAGCTGCAGGGCCTGGGAGGCAGCCGTGACGCTCGTCCAGGGCGCCGCTTCGCCCCTCTCTCCTGCTCCTCCTCCTCCTCCTCCTCCTCCTCCTCCTCCTCCTCCTCCTCCTCCTCCTCCTCCTCCTCCTCCTCCTCCTCCTCCCAAGCCCCCTCGTTCTCTTTCTTCCCTGGCCGTTCTTGGGCAACCACGTTGCCCAATCACTTTCTCGCTGGTCGTGTTCGACATGCGTGCATGTGTGACTGTGCTTCGCTGCACACCCATTGCTGCATTTGACAGCGAACAACGGTCTGTACAGTGTGCCCTCGACAACGTTCGATCGCAATGAGCACTTCCATCTGCTGCTCGCGCCTGAAGACCACCGACGCCGCCGACTAAAAAATGTGTGACCCTACTTGTGTCTGCTGATCCGGCTCCAGCGCGAGGCGCAGTCACGCTTCCAAAGGGAACTCGTATCGCTGTTGTCTCTCGCCAGAAGCGTGGGGGATGGGCCACGCTCGCAGGACAAGCCTTTAACTGGACCAGCTTTCGCGCCGTCGCGTTGGCATGGTTTCTCCCTAATCGCTCCTTCCTCCTGCACTGTCCTCCCGGAGGCGGAGCTCCGGCTAGGCTCGCTATGGTCGGCCAGCTCTTCGCCTCCTCTGCCTGTCTCCTCCTCGCTCCCCCCACATGTGGCGTAGAGCTGGGTTCGCTGGCCTTCGGACAATCTGCGAGGGAGTAGCGCCTTGTCTTATTGTTCTCTTTGTGTTCGACTCCCCCGCCCGCGAGTGTGCATACAGCAGCTAAGAAGCATGAGTTGCTTTTCGACAGCTCCAGAAGTGCCAATGCCAAAGATTGATTGAGGCCAACCTGTTCTTGGTGCCGCCCTGCTGTCGGCCGACAGCGGCACGGCCTGAGGCGCCAAATTCCCGCCGGGCTCGCCTGCCGGGCACTCCGCCCCCTGGGCTGCTGCTACCCGTTGGCATGCGGCCCCGTAAAGGGAGACAGCTTGTGGCGGAACCTTTGGGAACTTGGCCACTCCCCCCTACCCCATTCCCTGGGTCTGGACGGGGAGCAGCCTGAGCGGTCGAAGAGCCCGAGAATACCCCAGGTGGCTTTCGCCCTGAGACGATCTGCAAGATGGTACGAGGTATCCCGAGATTGTTCCCAGTAGCTTCCAACATGCCTCCGGGAGGCATCAAGACCGCCCCAAGACGGCGACAAGTGGCCTCGGACAAGCCCTCGCCAGGTCAGAATCACTCCAGAACCGCAAGGAAGTCCATGGTTCGAGCCTTCTCGCAATTTTACTTCCAATGAGCCTTTGAACCCTCAGACGGCTGCAAGATAGCCGAAGAACGTCCCAAAATGGGTCCAGAAGGGTCCCAAAACGGCCTCAAGAACTCGCAAGTTTGCCTCGAGATCGCCCTAAGAGTACATCACGAGGCGATGTTCGGCCTCTGAGGGGAGGACCGTAGTTAAGAGACCCCCTTCCTCTGAGGGGAGGACCGTAGTTAAGAGACCCCCTTCTTTGATCGATGGCCTCCCCCAAGAGGGCCCCAAGAGGGCCCCAAGAGAGCCCCAAGAGCGCATCGAAGGCTCCAAAAGTGCCCTAAGAGAGCTCCAAGAGACCGTCAGGAGGGCCCCCCTTGACGCTAGTGTTGGCCTGCTTGCTTCACAGTCTGCTGTCTACGCCCCTCCTCCAGACAACTCCCCTGGACATCGTTTCTGAATCTGCTGGTTTGGATGCGCACAAGCGGCAAGGATTTCCTTAACACCACGGAACTATCCCGAACGCATCAAAGACATGCATTTTCCGTGCTGGCGCCCTTTTGGTGTCCAGAAACAACATAGATGCATGCGCCGCGTCGCCGAACACACAAGTCGGCAAATTCGCGCAGAACGATACGGCCGACGACAGCTACATAGCACCCCGCAAATGCGGATAAGAGTGAGAAGACGGCGAGGACGTTGGCAGTTTGCGAGATTCTGGAAAAGCCCGCCGCAAGCGCCAAAGTTTCACAAATTATACAACGGGCCCGCCGTGGGCGCCGATTTTCGTCAACCCAATGTGAATGGGTCGCGGGTGGGTCGCGGGTGGGTCGCAAATGGGTCGCAAATGGGTCGCGGCTGGGTCGCGAGTGGGTCGCGGGTGTAGACAGCTGAAAACCCACCCCATAGCAATCACCCCGACAAGCGAAGCCGTTTAGTAAACGCACACGAGGAATGAATCGAACCGGGCAGGGCTGTTTAGTAAACGCTCAGGGCCGTTTAGTAAACGTCAATTGTCGGGTCCGGGTGATTTTCCTCCTGGTCGCGGGTTGGCTCGCGGGTGGGTCGCGGGTTGGGTCGCGGGTGGGTCGCGGGGCGGGTCGCGGGTGGGTCGCGGGTGGGACCACGACAACAAACAACAACAACAACAACAACAACAACAACAACAACAAAGCAAGGG